GTAGTTTACAAAGCCCATGCTCAGAGACTCCCTTCACAACAGATCTTTACCTTATACACATAAACTCACAAGTTCACCAAGAAAAGCTTCTCTCCACCTCAGATCTCTCGCTTCTAGGGTAAAGCTCTTTCACATATTGCACAATTATATAAAACCGAAGAATCCATAAGATATTGACAGGGCACCGTTGGATGCCTTTTGCAGTTCAAACACTCTCCAGGGAACTTGCAACGGATTAAAACTAAAATGTATAGTTTCACTCACGTTGTAGTTTGCACTTCACACAAGTTACTACAATGATCAGAAAATTACATCTGCATCATCTGCTTCACTAACGCACTTCCCACATTTTCCAACTCATTTTACTACTAACACAGTAAAGAACGGAAAAAGAACTGGCCCTTAGCTGCTGTGGTGACAGCCCATGTCACCAGCTGTCACGTTGCAAAGAACCAGCAGATATCACCACGTGGACCTTTTCTCCTTCCTCCCCAGACCATAAACAATTCCTCCTAAAGCCAAACTGTAGTTACTCTTTACTACATAAAAAGAATAGAGACTTGAATAATGAAATATAGAATCCCAGATTCATATCTATAAACACTAGCTGTAATTGAAATAGTGGGAACTTAATATAGCTCTGGATTTCATCAGGTTGCTAACAGCCATCACCAGTCTCTAAAATGCATCAACACATCTATTCACAACAGTTTTTTATTATTTTGCTAGATCTTATCCTGCCGGTCTCATCTGGCTGGACTCAAAGTGTCTCACCAGACACTCATGATCTGAGCAGGTTTCACTCATCCACGCTTCATACTGCAAGCTGCAGGGCAGGACAGCCAAATGTCCTTAGTTACAACAGTCACAGAAACAATGATGACAACTCCTCAATTTTCAGCTCAACCTGTTATTCACCTTTGCATCAAACAGCTTCAAGGTATAAAAAGTAGAAAAAGCTTTTAAGTGTACATTTAAGACAATAGTTCCTCTACTTCCCTTTTCATTACATCATGTTGAACACTATTCAGACTTGTTTATGATGCCTACATATCTAAAATGGAAAAGCAGAGGCATGCAAGGCATAGGATTTGCATAGTACAAGATCTCCAGGCATTGCCCTCTAGAAACACAGATTAGTGCAAGTGGTAAGGCAGACAAGCCGGGGGAATCCACAATGGCCAGAAGTCTGGCCACAACAATGTCTTCTAACGACAACACATTTACAAAGGCAGGTCTTGCTAAGCAGACAAGCAGCACTCTCCTTACCACCTTTGAAAAAAACACCTTTGAAGAAAAATCTCATTAATTAACACTGATAACTGCATAGTAGTTTTGCAAGGATACCTACCGTGGTAGGAGACGGAAACAGTAAGGACAGCTGGGTAGTGCCATGAGACAAACTCAATTTTTGTTGTGATGAGAGCCTTTGCCCTCAATCCCATGTTCCTTCTCAAATATGTCAGTCTTTTACAATATTACATAGAAACGAATATCACTGAAAAGGAAGGAAGGAAGGAGACACACATGATGTGTATTGTGATACTGCCCAGTGGGCATAAAAGAAACACACATCAGGCGTTTCCCATTCTCTTCCACCCAGTGATATGCATAAATCCTGATACTACACCAGCACTGAGAACAAATCATTCCAATTAGCCAATAGGTACTGGTTGAACACTGCAGGAGTGTAGCATGGAACCCAGTAAGGAAGTGTTTCAAATTAAAATCCACTACCCTGCTCATGTGTAAGGTCACAAGCAACAGAGAACCAGTCCCTGGATTGCTCTGGCAGGTGGATTTAATCTGCATGAGTGAAGTGATGAGTATGTGCTCTGTAATGAACATGAGCCCGGTGATGTGATGCCAGGGAATCATCACTAGTCCTGTGCTACAGGAAGGATACTGATTTAAATCACCCCACTTTCTGTCAGTGTTAGATGTGTGAAAATATATGTCCTGGTTCTCCATAAACTCTCATCAATGTTATGCAGCTGTTACTACATTTTCAGTGAAAAAACTCCTGATTTATAGTCATTGTAAGTAGCAGGAAGATTAAAACTAATATATCTCTAGTGAATTAGGTGTTCAAAGAGTTTAGTGAATAATTTTCTATGAATAATTAATTTGAAAAAATTGATAGATTTCCCTGGTCCTGAACTTGCAATTATTTGGGAACTAGATCAAGTAATCTGTGGTGTACACATAACTCAAATAGGAAATTATGATTATTAAATAAAATATAGAATTTACAACTCCCATAGCAAATTATGTCTTTTGACTAATTTATGTAATGAATTTAGCTAGCCTGCCCTTCATGGATTTCAAACCGCATGTTCAATATTTGCAATTATCTGTGCAGGCAGCAGTTACATAAGTCATCTGATCAGTAACAGAAACACCACTATGTGTGACGCTGTCAAAACAGCAAAACCAGCATATCCTACAATTTCAAACAATTCAGAAAATACTGAAGCATGCAGTTAAAATTTACAGCTGAGTCTTTTCTATTCAAAAGCTCAGGGTTAGGAAGCTTTTCTCCTCTTCAGTAAGCACTACTGTCTATAGACATACAGGGAAGTGGTGGTACAAGTGGCAGGTGTTGCTTGTTCTTTATTTTTGTCCAGAACATTAAGTGTGTTGCTTAATGTTTTTAATAGGTAAGCAGCACTGATGTGTTGCCTGAGGTTTGTCACTGGGGCTGGAGAGGGAATGAGGTGCAGCAGGAGAACAAACAGCTTAGCACATGTGAAAGAAAGGCTCGGGAAAGGCATGGACATTGACAGCCAGTCAAGACAGCTTGAAAGAAGATTTGGTCCAATTTTCAGGTTCGGTAGGATTCCTTGTATTTCCCTTTTTGAGAAAGATTTGAATGTAGGATGTGAAAAACTAAATGCTGTTGATCAAATCACCCTAATAACAGTTGCTGAACCCCGGTTAGACCAAACTGTGGCCTCATTGAAACATACGGGAGCTTGGGTCTTTACCTGGGATGGAACCACAATTTCACACCTCATCCTTACAATCAAGGTTGTGTTTTTACTCTCTGTTCTCATTAAACTTACTAGGCCCTCTTCCTTCTAAGTCTAACTGCTTTATGCCTTGGCCCCATTACTCCTAGACATTTTTATCTAGCCAACTGAACAAATCTGAAATAAGCCCAAAGCCAACACAAACCAACTTCCCCTGGCTACTAGTGCTCATTGTAACTGGCTGTCTCTTCTTGGTGGTGTTGGATACTGTGCAGAAAAGAGAGGGACTAAAGGGCACCATAAAGCATGCTTAGAGCAAACAACCCACTGCTAGGATGTATATGACAGCAGCTAAAATTTTGCCCTAGTTTTGGCAACTCTCATGCCAAAAGTATGACTATCAGAAATGGGCATTTCCTTACTATGGGAAAGAAGCTACAGTAAACTGCAGTGCTGCCTACCACTTCTAAAGTTGTCTGAAACACTGAAAAGGAGATACCAATCTATTAGAAAGAAATAAAAAATAAGTGCTTTGAAAATATACCCAGATAACAGACAGCCTCTCCTTGTTATCTGCTGCCTTCTACCTTAAAGAATCCCATGAGTCTGGACATGTTTTTCTTTACAATTAATTTTTTTTTATTGTCATTTTCCCTCTCTTAGTTCCTTGTGTTCTCTCACCACTTTATTCAGCGGTGAATTTTTAAATCTGAGAGGTACTGAGAGTCATATTTAATCCCTGAAATAACTGGCCTGATTTTTCCTGCACATACAAATCTTCTTTTGCTGCAGATGGAAATGATTCTGATGACACTCCTATTCCCATCCGTGTAATACAGCTCAGGCTATTGAAATTTGTGGTATTATATGCAGGTTAAACTGGTGAGTTAGGAGTGAGTCTAGTTATCTGCATTGTGGTAATGACATCTCCTCTGTGGTCACGGATGCAGACAGGTACCTCCTTAGTTATTTCCTGCACAGAACTATGGCTCCGTCTGCACTTGCAAACTCCTCCCTTCAACCCACTTTGTCTCCTTCATGAATCTATTTCATCAGAGCCTGTTGTAACCCCTTATCATGAGCACATGGGTGAAATTTGAGGAGTGGGGTGCTGGTTGCTTCATGGGCCATTCCCTCTCCCCTGCCCACATGCACCTTATTGCTGTAAGACTCCAGGGACCACACTCCCTCAATCCCCTGGTTGCTCTTTTGCTTTGAAAAAAAAATGGCAAGTCTACCAAAGGAAAAAGGAAAGTTTTGTTTGGCTTAAACATTAAAGACAGCAAAATGGTAAATACTGCCAATTTTAACAGAGCTAGTACCTTCATTTCTGTTTCCCTGACAATTTGAATGAAAGGCAAATGATGTTCTGCTTGGGAATCAAAAACTCTTCTACTTGATGGAATGTGCCTGATACCATGATAAAAAAAAAAACAAACCAAAAACTGGTGAGTTTGAAGGCAGTACTGAAATGCATAGTGCTAGAAATACAAACTTCGTTTTTTCTAAATAAGAAGGTGCTTTAATAGAAGTACTTTAATGAAATTGTTTTAATGAAGGACTAATTGCCTCTAAGTGATGACATTTGAAAAAAGATGTTACAAGCAGCTTCTTATTCAGAAATTAGCAGCCAAGATCAATAAATAAAACACAAAATGTAGGCATATTATTGATGCAAATACTGATGCAGATACTGTAGGCATAATACTGCTATAAAGGGTTAAATTTGGTGAAAAAAGCTGATGAAATAGAATATTTGATGTTAATTCTATTGAGGCTGACTTCAAGTAGCTAGTGTTCAACCAGTTTGGTTTTTATATGGCCTTGAAAGATATGCCAACTATAGCTGCTAAATCCATATTGCAATTAGAAATGGTTACCTTTGTTGATCAAAAAAAAATGAAATGAAAGAAAAGAAAAATAACATACCATGTTCACACAGAAAACAAAAAGAGCTATATCAGGGACATCAGGGAAGGTGGAATACTATAACAACACATTTTTATATTGTTATACTATTCCACCCACCTTAATGGAGAACCCTTCGGTGTGGCTACGCCATAGCCTTTCGAATCCAGATTTCCTCCCACTTTCATGGTGTCACATGGCTTTCGTTGCTCAATGTATTCATTCATGGTGGACTCCAGCAGGAAGGCAAACTTGCCCTTGGATTTGCGGACACGAGCTACTCCCTCTGCGGTAGTCCTAGTGAACACTGACGGCTCTGCAGATTTCATGTAGGTCCACATCTTTTCATACACTGCTATTTTTGACCTCTGGAGAAAATTAAAAAGAAGTTAGAATAAAAGAATGTTGCAACATTTCAGAATGGCACTGTTCAATCATACTTAACATATCAAACAACTGGGGCTGGGAAAATCAGACTTGGATAAGGATTTTCTTTGAATTCCATGATTATTTTAAAAGAAACAAGAAATAATAATATCATTACTATAAAATCAGGTATTATTTTTAGGCACAGTTAGCCTTTAGCAGTCACAAGAAAATAACGGCAAAGCTAAGACCTGAATTTACTGTTAGGTAAAGGTAGTTCACACAAAATGTTGTAAAGTGTGTTTCCCCATAAATACTGGGCTGAATCTTGAAGCATTTTTCAGCTCTAACACCCATGTCTTACACCATCAAAACCACAATAGCTTACGTAAGATTTCTGCTTTCAACAGAGTTCAGAATTCATTTATTTTACACTCAGAAAGGCTGCACGTTTCAAGACATGGTTCACAGTAAAAGACAGAAACAGCAAATTGGACCAAATATGCTATTAAAGGAAACAAAATCCCCTAAGAATTTGTTTTAATGAAATGTTAGGTATATTTTTAGAACCACAATATCAGTAGATTTATTTTAAAGACTCTGATTCTGAAAATAATTGAGTAAGAAATGTGCTTGCTTAAAGAATGTGCAAAAATTCATGGCTTAGAGTGCATTAGTTAGAAATTTTCCTGTCTGGGAATGCATGATGTAACCACAAGTAAAGATGTGATAAAAAATAAAAACAAATACAAATTTTCCTTGGAAAGAAGGAAAGACGGAAATGCTGTCAGGCTGAGAAGCTTCCCAGGGTACTTAGACTCATTCAACAACTTTGCTTCCTCCAGCAGTAGGGATACATACGTGCAAACCAGCAGTGCATCAGCTGAGCACTATATTTTTTTATTTAATAACAGATGGCACTTGTCTTCCCTTATACATGCTGCAAAAAGGACTTTTTAACCCAATGCTCAAGTCATCTTTTATTTGAGTCAACAGGCATTTATAGCTAAGCAAGATTTGGTCTATGAGCCCATTCCTACACTGTGCTGAGCACACCAGGAAAATATTCATTATTATAAAGCCCCAAAACAAAGGGCCTTAGAATATTTAAACAAATATAAAATCCTGTAATCTAGGTATTATTTAAATTGACAATGGCTTTAAAAAGCCTGCAACTGAGCCTTTGTACAGGTAAGAGTAATTTCCCTGAAGCACTTCTTTTTACCAGTTACTGAATGATTGGTCTAACTTGAAAGTGCCATTTAACAAGAAATGTTCAATAAAAATACTACATAACAGAACATGATAAATTATCCTTGCTTTTTTAGCTTGTCTATATGCATAATTTTATCATGCTGTCAAATATAATAAAATTTAAATTAACAACAGCTGTGCATGTCCATAATTGCATCCTGCCTTGCCACCCTCTCTTTCCACTGTAGTCACAGCTACTTTTCAGTTACATAAGAATGGCTGAGAGCAGAGCGTAAATTAAACCACCCATTTATTCTTCTTGCTTTACACTGAGGTAATTTCATGGATTTAAATTTACAGAAACACACACACACACACACCCCCCCCAAAAAAAAGAAAAAAAAAAGAAAAAAAAAGAAAGAGAGCAGTAATGAATCAGGCATAATTTCAAAAATATTTACATGCCTTGTCTACCTTCACTTCCAATCATTTTTTGTGTCTTAACACCCATATCATCAGACTCTTTATAAAGTAAACATCTAATAGGTCACTTTCCTTCAAAACTAAAAACACCCAATACATAAAATAGTTCTGTTAATAAGAGAAAACAATGCTCTATACAAATTATAAAAGGGTGCACTCAAATCTATTTTTTTAGGATCAAGTTTCCTTTGCCCATCGAAAGACAAGAAAATAAGGCAAGTCTAACAAGGCATCTGCTCTGCAAGAACATTTTATTCTCTGAAGCTTTCATTTGTTAACATTCAATTTCTACATGTCAACCCAGAGCGAAAATTGAAGAGTGAACCAACAGATATTCCTTATTATCATATGAGGAAACATTGCAGCTTTCCCCTGCAGTCAGACAGGCCAGGGCAATTTCCATTTGGGGCTTTTCTGAGTAGGACTGCTAAAACTAAGTTCTTTTCCTCTTGAGCAAGCTGCTCAGAAAATGCAAGTCTCACTGTATGCAAAACAGAAAATTAGTAAATAGCTAATAGTATCAAAGCTTTCTTTTTCTTTATGTTGGGTTTAAAATGACTTTTCCCTTTTCTGTTTTCAGTCTGGAATCAAAGCAGACTGGATAGCTCTTCAGAGTTTCTGACATTTTGATCAGAAATGATCAAATGATGAGAAAACGTCCTGAAGGCTCATCTTCAGCCAGATAGCAATCACTGACAGAAAAGTCACACATAACTTTAATCCCAAAACTGATGATGTTTGCTTCCAACCACACAAAAAAGTTAGACTTGTGAAACAAGTCTTCTCCTACTATTGTTTCAGGCTAGGTCTTAATTTATGTATTATGCACAATGTGTTCCTGCAAATATCGTCTGTCATTGATGTTTTATCTTTGTCCTTGTTTTGTGAAAAATATTTATAGAATTAGCACACACAATATCATTAACAATCACTGTACTGTTGCACAGATTAGAAACCATTTGATAACAGGTCTCAATTACACCATTTTTGAAAAAGTGATAAACACAATCTAAACCTTGATAAAGCTTCAAATTTTGCATATGCAACTGTATTTACTATTTGTAGTTACTTTTAATGTTTCCCTTTGTATTTAGAAATAAAGGAAAAAACATAAAGAGAACATTAATTTCCCTTCTTTTTTTCTGTTAATACTTTAATATTAAAGTGAAAGAACGTCTGTTATTGTAGATGGAGAAAGAATATTCTCTTTAAGGAGAGATCTTGCATGAAATATTGATTCAAACAAAAAAAGCACCTGTGTTTACAGGATGATGTAAAAGAATAATGAATTTTTTGTGACCAAGACTGTTTTTATGTCAAAAGACCTGACCTCATTATCTCAAAACAATAGCTTGTAAAAGTGTTAAGAAAACAACTCCATTCCTCTCTTCATGACGATTTCCTTGGGAAGTTACTTTTGCATCATCACCTAAAAATGTCACAACCACTGGATAATCCTGAAAATGTAACAAGTTAATAAATCCAAAGTTAAATAAACCTGCCTGGTCCTCAGCATCGTGTTTTTAACTATCATCACAGTCTCATTCTAGTTGAAAAAGCTATTTGTACACATATATTGTGATTACCACCTCAGCTTGAAACTGGAATTCACAGAATTAAATACTTAACTTTCCACTAATTGATCTAAAGAAGAATCTATGGGTTAAGCATAAATTAATACAAATGAGTGCTGAGGGATTCTACTCTTTCCAATAAAATAGGAAATCTGGCCATCTCAGCATCAAAATAGTTCAGTTCCCAGACAAGCCTCCTATATCTTAATGCCACCATTTTTGTAGACATTTGATGTGAAATCACGGCTTCCAGGGACAACAAGCTGAGTTTCTACCACTTGGGATAAAAAATAAAGCTCCCACAGAACATCAGTAGTGTCATATTGGGGTATATGCCAACACCCTGGCTATAGAAGAACACAGGTGTAGCTAGAAACTTGTCACTGAACTGTATCCATTAAAAAATGAGGTACCAAGCACCCTAGACATTTCAGTGGGATCCCCCTAGAGCTGATGCAAAGAGGGAGACACTTTAAAGGGTGGTTTATTTCAACATAACACACTTGTCCCACACAGGATACACAGGGGTGCTTTTATTTTGCCCATGTCTACAGAAAAAACATCTAGAAAACTAGCTTAGACTAAACTCCTTGGACAGCTTCATTATGTGAAGTCTCAACCACTGTGAGCTGGTTAAGTGCCATTTATAGCTTATAAGGCATCATCTTTTTACAGCTAATGCAAAATATTTGCAAGTTCATCTACAGGGATATCTCTTACAATAAAAAGGTTATTTCACTACAGACCTTTGGGGAGACACTCAGCAGCTTCCCTTGAATTGATGCTGTTTATAGTTCACAAATCCCACCCATAATTGTGTTAACGATTCACTGAGCTCAGTTTGGCCAAACGGAAAACAGTCAAGGTGCATAGGAGTATCTACCACACAACAGTCCCTTTTCAATTAGACAATAAGAAGAAATTATGACTCCATCTTCCTTTCTTCCAAAAAATGCCTTAAACTGCACCTTTCTGATAAATCAATGCTCCTAAACTGTAGCTTCCAAGGAAGGAATACTGGCTCACAGCACTTATTCAGAGCCATGTTGAAACACCACACTCACACATGGTCAGTCAGACACGCTTAACTTCCATCTGGTAGCGACATGAAATAAAGCAGGAGGGACTGCTCTGTTATTATTATGTACCCCTTGTGATGTCCAGGCTCCCTGTTTTCCAGCTGGCAAATGATGAGGATTACATACCAACCACACTAACACAGGAAAGCAAATGAAAACGAAGTAATCAACACAGACACATGAATGGCTATTTAGGCTGTTTCCTAATGCTCCAACCACATCCCCCTGAGATATATTTTCTCATTATTATTCATCTGAAAGTCAGCAAATTAAAAAATGCATTTCCTGCCCACCACGCAGGACCCTAAAGCAAAATGCACACAGTCAAATCCACAAGTAGAAACAAAACCTGCAGGACTCCATGTTATCATCATAGGCTTTCAATGCTGCACATAATTTCAGGACTGTAGCTTCAGATGAATCAATAGCACAATGCTGCTTTAATTATCACTGGCTTCAGTGTCCCTCGGGGCACCTCTTTTGCCCAATCTGACAGGATCAATGCATCAATAAGCTTTACACAAGTTAAAATATCTGAAAACTCCAACAAATGGTGTTGTGGAGGGTAAAAATATAGCTAAAGTATTGCAGGAATTACAAACTGCATTACATAAAATTGCAAAGTAACATTATTTCACCCTTCCAAGCATCTTATAACAGCAGTCAGTAGGGAGAGCTGCTCTAACGGACATGTCAACTTACTCTGAAGAACTCTTTGGTTGACCCTGAGTCCAGTGTCCCGTAAGCAATTTCGGTCTGTTTGGCAAGGTCTTCTGCACTTTCTATGGGTGAGACCATTCGCTCAACAGTCAAGAAAGCAGCAAGGTTAGCAGTGTAGGATGAAATAATGATGAGCGTGAAGAACCACCAGACACCTCCAACAATGCGACCTGAGAGGGATCTAAACATGAATAAGATAATGCACATTTTCCTGTCTCTTAAGCCACAAAGACAGAGAGAAAGAGAGAAGGCACCGTTATTGCTGAACATGTATCATTAACTAACAGTCAATGGGAGGGAGATAATTTGCATTTTAAATACTAATAAATGCTTTTTCTCCTGAATCTTAATGCCTACAGTACAGAGTCCACTGTATTAATATGTATCACGCACATACAGAAGTTTGCATTCTCTTGAACAGTAATCCCAGTGTTCTTGTTATTTCAGGAAATGTCTAACATAGCAAAAATTTTGACAAAAATACTGGATAGGTAATCTCTTTTTGGAAACAAAAGTAAAGCATGGTAGCTGCAAATCAGTAGTTTTCTCTGATTCCTCTTAAAAAGAAAAAGACACAAAAGGCTTTGCACATGGATTATGTATGGTCTAGGATTAAACCAAATTATCAAACGTTCTACAAGCTACTGAAATCATATGAACTCTCACATTTTTCTTAAGAAGCAACCATTTTGCAGTACCAGAGATACTTATGTTAAGCAAAAAATTACATTTTCCATTTTAATACCTATAATTTGATGAGAAGGCTGTTGAGGAGTAATGTACATCCATTCTTAATCAGTAGCAGTTTTATTGCTAACTTCGATATTAGCAGAGTTAGGCCAATGCTGAACACTCTCAAAATCTCATTGTTAATGGCTAAAATTAAGCATTCAAGTTTGAAAGATTGGGTCATAATGTTTAATTAAGAAGTTGTAGTTACTGCATACTAAAGTTCCAGAACATCTTAAAAGGCTGAGAAATTCAGGACTGAGATCATATATTATATCTGAGGTACCCACTCTGTAAGGCACAGCTTAGCCATACTGCATGGCTTCTCAGAAACAGATGGTCAAATATTCTCTCTCCTACAGACAGCAATATTCTGGAAGCAGTGCTGTAGAAGTTGATAGGGAACAGAAATGGGACATTCATTCATGCAAGGCAAATATTCAGCACAATAGTGTGCATTTCTTAATTGTAATACAATGGAACTAATTTAAGCAACAAGATAGTTCCTCTGAATTCAACTCAGTGGAATTGCCCCTGTCTGTACCTGCTGTTTCTGAGAGCTGTTTTTGGTTTATGCATGTTGACATATGTAAAATAATAGTAATGACTGAATTTTAAAGCAGATTCTCTGTTGCCCTTATCATAGCTATTAAAAAAGAAAAAAATTAAAAGACTTCCTAAAGAATGAACTTCAAAACACTGCCAGGAAAATAAACGAAGGAAGATTTTATGCCTCAGTGTTGAAGACAAAATGCAAATGTAAAAAGATTTGACACAAACCTTGGGGAAATATCACATCCTTGTTGCATAAAAGCACCCAGGGAAAACCAGAGGCTGTTGAATATGCCAAACTCGTTGGGAGGCTGGTCACTGGGTCCTTCTTTCCCATCCTCTGGTTCTTCTGTATGCCACTCATATGGGCTAAACCTGCTAACTAGGAACAGGACCACACTGACACCAATGTAGGCAAAGACTATGCACATCCAGATCTCATACGCCAAAGGGTCCAAGAAGGAAAACACTCCTGGTTTAGATTTCTGGGGCTTTTTGATCATAATGGATATCCCCAAACTCATAAAAGGCTTAGAAAAATCAATGACCTCTTCTCGTACCAAAGTGATGGTCAGAGGCGCAACAGCAATCTCTGCTTTCTATAAAGAAAAAAAAGAAATATAGATGTATAGATTAATTGGAGTTGGCTTATATGCTCAGCTAAGCAGCTAATTCCAAAGGTATGTCATTACATCAGGACACTGTGGTTTAAATGTTCTTTATATCAGCTTTCTGTTTCTTTCTATCACTATATTTACTCAATATGCTTTTAGTAAAACATACGTATTGCAGGTTTTTATTTTACAGAATTATGGAAATAGTTAGTTTTCCTGATAAGGAGAAGACTCTTAAATCTTATAGAGGTGGGAAGCAGTGTAGGTAGATCATTTTAGGTATTAATTTAGATTTACAGTAAAGGAATTCAAGGAAGAATTAAAAATGAGAATGCCCCTATTGTCACTGAATGTATAGAGATTTTTTTATAAGTTCCCAGAAACAGTAATTTATTATCATATTTTCATAAGATACAATAATTCTTTGAGGGAAGCCAGCTCATAGACTCAGGAAGTTCCATATAGCGTGAAGCAGCAAAGCTGATTAACTATAGCTGTGATGCCACAAAACTGCACGCAGTTGTCTTGAGGGAAAGATAGTTCAACAAGGCAAGTATACAGAAAACAGCTGTGCAAAATCATGCAGTAATAGGATAAAAAGTGTGCTGAATCCATTCGCATTAGAGACAGGAATTTTTGTATATGTTTCTCTAATATGTTTTTAGAATGAAGACACCAGTCTTGAATGAATCGTTATTGATGATGATGGTGATTATGGCTGCTACCAACGATATCTGCATGAACTATAAGGTATTGTACCTTTGCTAATGGGTCATGTCTGTCATCAGGGACCCGACATTATATTAAGGTTTGCTCCTTGCCTTGCCTTGCTTTGTTTGCCTTGCCTTGTACACTACGCTGTCATTACAGCAGTACTTAGGTTGGGAATTGCAAGAGGAACAGGGACAAAAGATGCACCGGTGGGAGGGAAA